CGCCTGCCCAGGCAGGTCTCAAACCCGCGGGCTCAGGCAATCCACTCACCTCAGCCTCCCAAAGGCGCGGGATTACAGGCTGAGCCACCCAGCCCGGCTGGCCAGAAACTTTTATCCAAGAAAATGTATGAAGTCTTGGAAGGAACAGTGAGAGGCATGGCATTTCTTCTTTCTTCCCTTTCTTCCCACAGCTCACTGTGAAGGAAGCGCCGTTGTAGGTAGGTGTGGTCTAGATTGTGGAGGCTCCTGGTATCTCACTGTGAGGGGCCAGCCACGAGCTGTCTAGCCCGTCCAGTCCCAAGTCACAATAAGTTCCAGGCAAGGGCAGCTGAAGCTCCCTCTACTCAGCCTTACCCAGGGAGAGCAGAACCTCACCCAGGCATGGCAGGCCAGGTACACGGGGCAGTTTCCTCACCCCAGCCTGTGCACAGGGTGGGAGTTCCATGCTGTGGAGGGGCTGTAGCCTCACTCAGAGCCCCTCTCTTGCAGCAGGCGGGGGTTGCACCAGTAGACATGAGCACTATTCCCACCCCAGCTTGGAGCAGGGCTCAGATATTTAGCCCAAAGGAGAGGCAGATCATGAGAACAGAACGTTCCAGAGCTCCCGGGGACTGACTTTATTTGAAACAGAGTGTGGTTGTTTAAGCCCAAGGAGCTCTGGAAAGCAGAGGAGATGGTGGTGAGCCATGGAGAAGAGGAGGACTGGCGTGCCGTCAGAGCCACAGCTGCACCGCTGGCGAGTTTACCAAGCAGTCTGGGAGAACGACAGCAAGGAAGAACTCTGGAGACAAGCCCCAAAGAGTTGCCTCCAGAACTGCCTCAGTGGAGAAGCCTGGACTTCACTGGTGACAGTGGAGCAGTGTGTGCCCCAGGGCATTGTTGAAAACAGTAGGGCTTCGTGACCCACCTGGGCAGCGAGACCTCATCTCTACAATAAATCAAAAAATCAGTTGGGCGTGGTAGCGCACGCCTATAATTCCGGCTACTTGGAAGGCTGAGGTGGAAGGATCGCCGGAGCCCAGCAGGTGAGGCTGCGGTGGCCGGAAGCAGCCACTGCACTCCAGTCTGAGCGACTGAGTGAGACTCCAACTAAAAAAAAAAAAAAAAAAAAAAGAAAACAATAGGGCAGGCAGCTGCGACGAGGGGACCCTGACAGCTGGCTAAACCGACAGCTTGACAGAGATGAGGAGAGAGGCACCCACAGACAGCCGTGCCCCCAAAGCCATGCAGCCCCAGGCTGAAGGTGCCATGCAGCCCCAGGCTGAGCCCTCTGGAGCAGCAGAGGCTGCAGCCACAGGAGCGAGATGCAGTGAGGCAGCCCAGCCACGTCTCCCAGCAGGCCGGCAGCATCAAGGAGCCCGGGAGGGGGCATCAGTCTCCACTGTGGCTACAACATGTCATCTGAAATATCCAGTTTGTAAGTGATCATGACACACAGGAAAAAAGCAGAGCTGTGAGAGGGCCCAGGTGTTGGACTTTAACAGGTTTCTAGGAGCTGTCATAAATATGGTCACAGAACTAACGGAAACCACGGCTGAAGACTTAGAAGGTGTGATGATAGTATCTCATCACGCAGAGGAGTGTACAAATAGAAAAAAACGTTATAAAAAAAGAATCGAATGCGGATTCTGGAATTGAAAAGAAGAACTGAATGAAGCGTTCACCCGAGAGGAGCCACAGGTTTGAAGCGGCAGAAGAAACATCGTGAGAAATGCTCCTGCTGTTCCCGCATCCGCAGCATATGGCTGCAAGGATCAGTCCCTGCAGGGTTTGGCGACACCTTCCCTGCCTGCAGCCTTCTGGGCCAGGGCCTTTCTGTGGGGAGAGCGCTCATTACTTCTTGCCTTTCTTTTTCTTTAATTGTCGTGGTGCCTCTTCCTGTTTGGCACGTTTGCTGGCAAAGCCTTGGCGTGCTCTTGCCGTGGCTGGGATGTTGTCTTATGGTTACTTCTCGTTCCTCCTTCACTTGGCCCTGTTCGTTTTCCATCTTCTAGGAATTCCTTAAACTCTGATGTGTCAGTGGTACTCTTTTTTGTTTTGTAGCACTGTTATTAGCGTATTCTTACTGTTAGTGTTTTTTTTTCCGGGCAGGCATGGTGGCTCATGCCTGTCATCCCAGCACTTTGGGAGGCAGAGGTGAGAGGGCTGCCCGATCCCACAGGTTCGAGAGCAGCCTGGAAAATGGCGAGACCTCGTCTCTACAGTAAATCAAAAAATGAGCCGGGTGTGGCAGTGTGTGCCTGTAGTTCCAGCTATTTGGAAGGCTGAGGCGGAAGGATCCCCTGAGCCCAGCAGGTCAACCCTGGGGCGGCCATGCCCAGCACACCAGCCTGGGCGACAGAATGAGTCTCCGATTCAAAAAAAAAAATACCAAAAAACCAGAAAGTATCTTTTCTGTCTTCTCAAGGAGTATGGGGCCTAAAGAGGGGACTTGGGGTGAGCTTACTGTCTGGATGTGGTCTTGCTGCGTCACTGGATGCCCAGGACAAGTGCCCTCACCTGCTGAGGAGTAGAGAGCCGCCTCATACGCACATGGGCGTGGTGGCGCATCCAACTCTGTCTTTCTCCCCAGAGCGGCCCGGTCAGGCTCTTCGTGCCTTACAAAAGGCGCAAGAAGGAGAGTGAGCTGCCCACGACCCCGGTGAAGAAGGACTCCCCCAAGAACATCACATTGCTTCCGGCAACGGCGGCCACCGCCTGTGAGTTCAGGGAGACCCAGCCTTCTCCAAAGGCACCCGAGTCATTTCTCTTCTCGCTACCTTGTGGGGCGGGACGGGGGGCCTCTTCACGCTCCTCCCTCTGCTGTGGGGCCCAGGGCGGGAGGGTGGCCCAGTGCTCAGCTTGGCCTCGGCCCGGCTGCCTCCCATGAGACTGCCCGGTGAGCAGCAATCACCCATGATCATCTCCTGGTGAGCCGGTCCTCCGGGAGTGTTTCCCAGGGACCTGGCGGGGGAGGGGGAGCAAGGGGAAGGGGGGCTCCCCGGCTTGCTGCAGAGGCCAGCACCCTCCAGTGGGGGTCTCTGGGCAGCAGCCTTCAAGTACTCTCCCCCACAATGAGTGGACACAGCGAAGGGGGCGCCAGGGTCGTTGGAGGTAGAACCTGGCTTTTAACCCGTAGCTGGGTTGGAAGGCGCTCCCGGAGAGGCAGCCCTGGGAGAAGGTGTTGAGCCGTAGGCCCTTGGCTAGCAGCAGCCTGGGCGTCTGCATTGACAGAGCTGGGGCTCTTGGAAGCACCCACTCGCTCCCTCCCGCCTCCCCGGACGGAATGTGAGGAGGGACAAGGGACATGCTGGCAGCTCCCGTGTGTCTTCAGGAGGAGCAGAGTGGCAGCAGGACCGCCGGGACGGGCGTTATCATCTTCAACTTTGAGTTCCTTTTTTTGGAGTCAGAGTCTCACTCTGACACTCAGGCTGGAGTGCAGTGGCACTTCGTGGTCACCGCAGCCTCGACCTGTTGGGCCCAGGCAATCCTTGCGCCTCAGCCTTCCAAGTAGCTGGAACCACAGGCATGTGCCACCACGCCTGGCTAATTTTTTGATTTGTTGTAGAGACGAGGTCTCGCCAAGTGGCCCAGGCTGGTCTCAAACCCCTGGACTTAGGCAATCCTCTCGCCTCTGCCTCCCAAACTGCTGGGATGACAGGCGTGACCCACCACACCCAGCCTTCAAAGTTTTTTTTTTTTTTCAGTTGGAGTCTCACTCTGTCGCCCAGACTGGAGTGCAGTGGCCAGCCTCGACCTGCTGAGCTCCGGCGATCCTTCCACCTCAGCCTTCCAAGTAGCTGGAAATACAGGCGCCCGCTACCATGCCCGGCTAATTTTTGATTTATCGTAGAGATGAGGTCTCGCCAAGTTGCCCAGGCGGGTCTCGAACCTGCGGGCTCAGGCAATCCACTCGCCTCGGCCTCCCAAAGTGCTGGGATGACAGGCTGAGCCACCAAGCCCGGCCTACAAAGTATTTTTAAATCACTTAAAGTTTTTTGTGTTTTTGGTAGCCATGAGGTCTTGCTGTGTTGCCCAAGTTGGCCTCCAACTCCTGGCCTCAAGCGATTTTCCCACCTTAGTCTCCCAAGGTGCTAGGATTGTAGGCATGAGCCACCTCGCCATCCATAGTTTTATCTTCTTGTTTTCTGGCTGCCAGCACGCTCTGGTGGGTCACAGTTCACACCACAAGCGGGAAGTGGTGAGTGTGGCATCCCAACTGCGCCCTGGATTCTCCCGCAGGCAGCCAGGGTCTCCTTCCGCGTGCACAGGGGACGTGGACGGCGCCTGCGCTTCAGCTCAGCTGTCAGGTCTTCCGAGACTCACGCCGGCAGGACTGCTGCCTCATGGATGGCACAGGACCTGGGTGTTGTGGGCCCAGCTGCCTGGCCCGGCCACGTGTGAGATGTGCTTCTGCCTTTTCAGTCACTGTGACCCCCTCGGGACAGATCACCACCTCCGGGGCACTGACCTTCGACCGGGCGTCCACCGTGGAGGCCACCGCTGTCATCTCCGAGAGTCCGGCCCAGGGCGACGTCTTTGCAGGAGCCACAGGTGAGCTGGCCCAGCCCTGGCCTGACTGTGACGTCGCGTCACCGCTGCCTTGTCGGGCTGTGTGTGCTGCCAGGCACCTCAAGAGGGCCATGAGCGGGTGTGTTTGTTGGTGGGACGGCACAGGCAAGGGTGGGTGTGAACTGCATTGTGGGCGGTGTAGGAGTATAGCTATTGGTGACAGACCATACAGCCGGCAAGGCTGGAAATACTTCCCGTCGGCTGTCCAACAAGTGGGATGTGTGATGGTAGATACTCTGGCAGCCACGTTTAGAGTCCGAAGTGACGCGGACAAAATGAGCTTTCGTCATGTGTTTTCATCCCAAGCCCTATTTTGTCAGCAATGGGACGCGCCACATCTCAGGGCTCAGGAGCTACACGTGTCCGAGTGGCTGTGTGGCTTGAGCGGCACAGCTTAGACCCTCAGACTTGGGATCTGTGGTGCCGATGGCCCCCTGGCTGCCTGACCCTGTTCTCGCCCACAGTCCAAGAGGCCGGCGTGCAGCCCCCCTGCCGGGGCGGCCACCCTGAGCCCCACTACCCTGGCTATCAGGACAGCTGCCAGATGGCGCCGTTTCCGGAAGCTGCACTGCCTACATCACACCCCAAGATCGGTACGTCGGGGGGGTTTGTGCACGCCGCGTCGGTGTCCTCTGAGTTGCTTCCTGTGAGGGAATCTCTAGTGAGATGGGGTTTGTTTGGCTTGTTTGGGCTTGTCCCCTGTTAATGCACTAGATCACAGGCTGCAGCGTGTGGCCAGTGCTTGATGCGTGAGGTGTTGTTGACAGAGCCACACCCTCACCGGTGGCTGGCACCTGGGCAGAACACGCCCCCAGGGAAGGTCTGGTGCACACAGCCCCACGGAGGAGGGCCACATTCCATCATCTGCCCCACCAGGACGGATGCTTCTGGTGGCAGGTCTGGGTCCCTGCAGAGCTGGCTCAGACACTGAGCATCTGGTCAAAGAATGAAAACGCCAAAAATGTTTGCATCACACGTGGGCCTCAGACTTAGAAGTGGCGTCATCCTGTCCGTGCATTTGATTTTGAGATTTCCTTTGACTCCACATTTTGGATACATCTGTGCATCGCACTTTTTATTTATTTTTATTTTTATTTATTTTATTTTTGTGTTGGAGTCTCACTCTGTTGCCCAGGCTGGAGTGCAGTGGCATGCTCACAGCCACCGCAGCCTCGACCTGCTGGGCTCAGGCGATCCTTCCTCCTCAGCCTTCGAAGTAGCTGGAACTACAGGTGTAAGCCACCCCACCCAGCTAATTTTTTGATTAATTGTAGAAATGAGATCTCACCAGGTTGCCCAGGCTGGTCTCAAACCCGTGGGCTCAGGCATTCCCGTCCCTGCCTTCCTAAGTGCTGGGGCGTTGTGCTTGTCGACAGAAACGTCCCCTGCTGGAAGACATTTGTGCTTTTTACATTTTTATCCACTGCAGACAATGCAGCAAAAGATTTTCACAAGTTTGCAAGAAAGTTACCTTCTCGTTCTCACTGGCTTGTCTCCTCCTCCTTTATGTCCGATGAAACCCTCTCAGTCCTTAACGCCCTCCCGGGTTCTACCTCCTCCTCCACCCCTGGTGTTTCTGAAGAGTGTCTGCTGGGGCTGGGGGTATGGCGTCCTGCCCAGAGCCGGGGCGTCCTCTAGGGCTCCTGCCCTCTCTGCTCCTGGGGCAGCGGGGTTCACCACTGGCAGGAGGCCCCAGAGCATCTTGCTAACATTTAAGCATTTTTTGGAAACCATCTCAAGTAAGCAAAAAAAGTTGCAGATACAGTGCAGGACACTTTCCCCCGAACTGAGAGTGAGTTGCTCTGACACCGCAGGAATGCTTTAGCATGTTTTCCCTAAATACAAGGACAGTGTTAAAGTCAAGACGCTAACACTGCCTCTTTCCTGCCACGCCAGCTGTCCTGTTCGTGTCTCTGCTTTCTTCCTGCCGCAGTGCTTTTGGGGAATATGGGAAAGCTGTTCTGTGGACAGGTCCTCACCTCGGCCTACGACGGCCGAGAGGGGGTGCGGGTTGCGTGTCTTTGTCACTCATGGGCAGACGTGGGGTGGGGCTGCCCAGGGCTCCAAGACACCCGAGCCCCTCTTGTCCTGTGTCTACTGAGGGTGACTGACACTGGCTGATGGTGGTGCCGGCTGGAGCCCTCCCCCAGGACATTATAGTCTCCCTCTGTAGTCAGCAGGGCCTGGGAGGTACTTGGAAGCGGCGAGGCCTGGCTTCTCGCTTGCTCCCACCAGTATCTGTGTTTGTGGATGCCGCGCTTTGCTTTGTTCGTTGGGCTATTTCTGCTTCAGTTGCTCCAGCCTGGGTGGGAGCCTGTGACCTGCTGTGGCTTCCTTGCCCGCCCTCTGCTCTCAGCACTTCTGACTTTCTGGGATCCCCAGACACTCGAGGCTCATCTCGGGTTTTCTTTTCCCCAGGAGTCTGCCCTTTAGTGGTGGCTGGTGTTTCCGGCCCTGACCACAGCGGGCTGGGTGCGAGTCTGGTGACCTCACGCAGTGAGCTTAGGAAGTGCCTCCGTGGAGGATTTGCGCCTGGAAACCAGCAGATGCTGCAGACCAGAGCTTTTCCTGCTGGCAGCCTGGGGGTTCAGGGGAACAGCTGGCCCCGGTGCAGGGTGTGCACACTGCTGCTGTATGCCTCTGTCCTTCTCGGTGGAGAGGTGGGGCGTGCACACTGGTGTCCACGCATGCAGTGTGTGCTCTGGGTCTGTGCGTGCTGAAGGCCACACGCTTGCACCGGTGGCCCGAGTCCCTGTGCAGATCTCAGGGCTTGCTCTGTGTCCTGCCTCCCCTCTCTGTAACTTCCTCCCACGGCAAGAGACTCGACTCCCGTTCTGCTTCACAACTGCCCCGTGCGTGGCCACAGACGTCCAGGAAGACCTCCTAGACTAGCTGATCAGAGGCGAGCTAGAGACTCCCGCTCGTTTGTCTCCTCTGCTGGTTGAGATTCGCCCGAGCTGTCCCCTCCCCTGTCCTGGCCTCGGCTTGTTCTGCCAACATTTCCTGGCCACCCTACCGCAGGTGGGCGTCTCGCTTGCCTTGTCTGGCCCAACTTTGAGCCGGTGTGGGGCAGGGCCAGGGTCAGTAAGCGCCCCTTGGTGGCAGCCCAGGGGGCTTCAGAGAGTGGAGATGGTGGGGGCAGATGGGGGTGGGGCGTCTCCGCGGTGAGCAGGCTGGGCTGTCAGCCTGCCGCTTGCCACCCCCTCCAGCCTTTGGCGAGAGTTTTTAGCGGAGGCTCTCCGCCAGGACCCACGTTCAGTCTTGGTTTGATGTGCTTTCCCTGTTCTAGTGTTGACGTCCCTGCCTGCCCTGGCAGTCCCGCCCCCCACGCCCACCAAGGCCGTGTCTCCCACGGTGATCAACGGCCTGGAGATGTCCGAGCAGCGGAGCTGGCTGTACCTGGAAGAGATGGTCAACTCCTTGCTCAGTACAGCCCAGCAGCTGAAGACACTGTTTGAGCAAGCCAAGCAGGCCAGTTCCTTCCGAGAAGCTGCTGCCACCCAGGCCAAACTTCAGGCTGACACAGAGCGCAAGGAGGTAACGTTCGCACAGGCATGAAGGCAGCCTGGCAAGTCCTTTGGGGCCTCCCGTGGGCACTCTGAGGGCAGCCCCTGGGCCCGCACAGCCACTGCCTGCCTTTCTGGACAAGGGACCCTGGAGACTCACTTACAAATGAAGCTTTTCTTTCTTTTTTTTTTTTGAATCGGAGTCTCACTCTGTCACCCAGGCTGGAGTGCAGTGTGGCATGCTCACGCCACTGCAGCCTGGATCTGCTGTGCTCAGGCAGTCCTTCCGCTTCAGCCTCCTGAGTAGTTGGGCCTGCAGGTGCGCACCACCATACCTGGCTAATTTTTTTGATTTCTTGTAGAGACGGGGTCTGGCCAAGTTGCCCAGGCTTGTCTCCACCCCTGAACTCAGGCGATTCTCTTGCCTCAGCATTCTAGAGTACTGGGGTTACAGATGGGAACCACTGCGTCCGACCAAAGGAAGCCTTTCTTACAGAGAAGTGACACCTCTTAGTGATAAGGTGGTTTGGGTTTTTGTCAATAAGATTGGTTTATTTCAAAAGGGAAAGCGAGAATACACAGCAGGCATTATTTTTGAACACCCGCCTTTTATAGACATTGTTTGTGCTTCTAGGGTTTAGGCCACTCAGGGCTAAAATATGTGTGCCTTACGTCTCACCAAGCTTGGCGACAGCTCACTTGGTGTGTCCTGAGGTCCCAGCTGGGGATGGGTGCATAGTTCTCCCTGGGTCGCTGGGCTCTGCCATCTGCTGTCATGATGCACCCTGAGGGGGATCCTGGGTATTGCACACCTGCTTCCGGCACTCTTACGAAGGTGGGTCCTGAATGCCGGCCGGGCTCTGAGTACAGCGTTCACACTTCCTCCTTGTCCACAGCACAAACAAGAGCCACTCAGGCGCCTTCATCTTTCTGTGTGAGGCCTTTAGGCCACTCAGGGTTAAAATCTTGCGGGTGACATGAGGGCTCGGTGGGGCTGGTGTTATGGGCCAAAGATAAACGACCAGAGTCGAGAGAATAGCATGGCCGTTTGGCTCCCCTGTGGCTTATGCCTGGTGTGACAGATGCTGCGTGTCGCAGGGCGCTGGGGCGGAATGAGGTGGGGAGGAGAGTCTGCTAGCTGCAGACCAGGATCCAGAGGCTGTGGGAGAGGTAGGGGTGTGCTCATTCTTCCTTTCTTTTTCTTTTGAGTCAGAGTCTGGCTCTGTTGCCCAGGCTGGAGTGCAGCAGCATGCTCACAGCTTACTGTAGCCTCAATCTCCTGAGCTCAGATGGTCCTCCCGCCTCAGCCTCCCGAGTGACTGGACTTCAGACGTGCTCCATCACAGCTAGCTAATTTTTTTGATCGTTTGTAGAGACGAGGGCTCGATCTGTTTCCCAGACTGGTCTCGAACTCCTGGGCTCAAGCAGTCCTCCCTCCTCAGCCTCCCAGAGTGCTGGGGTCATAGGCATGAGCCACCACACCCAGCCCAAACTAACTTCTAATTAAATTCCAGTATGGTTAGAGAATTTTCTCGATCTAACTTCAGTTCTGTAAATGTATTAAGATTTACTTTACGACCCAGTATTTGCTCGATCTTGAACATTGCATATGAGGTTTTATTCTGTCATTGGTTTTAGGGTTCTGTAATGTCCTTGGGTCAAGGTGGCGATTAACATTGTTCAAGTCTTTTTCTTCAGCCTAAAGAGCTACCTTTAGCATCTCTTGGAGTACTGTTGGCCATGAATTTCCTCCATTTTTGTTTATCTTTCAGTGTTCATAGTTTACCTTTATTTTATTTTGTTTCTTGACACCGGCTCTCACTCCGTTGCCCAGGCTGGAGTGCAGTGGCTCATTCACAGCTCATTGCAGCCTCCGCATCCTGGGCTCAGGCAAACATTTCCGCAGCCTCCTGAGTGGCTGCGACCACTCAGCTGATTTCGGAAGTTCTTGTGGAGACAGGGTCCCGCTGTATTTCCCAGGCTGGCCTTGAATCTGGGCTCAGGCGATTCTCTTGCCCCCGCCTCCCCAAGTCCTGGAATTATAGGCACGATTCCCGTGCCCAGCCTCGCCTGTCTTTTTGAAGGCCATTTCTAAGTGACACGGGATTCTGGGATGTCATCCCTTCCTTCGTCACTTTAAGATGTCCATCTGGTGGTGTCTGGCCCCAGTCGTTTCTAGTGAGAAGTCAGTTGACATTTGTATTGTTAACCTCCGCTACGTGTTGTGGCTCTGGCTGCTTTCTAGAATTTATCTTTGTCTCTGGTGTTTAGCCGTTTGGCTGCAGGTACCTGAGTCTGGCTTTCTTCACGCTTGGCCTTCTTGGGGTTTGCCATGTTCTAAGTACTCCAGTGTCTTCCATCGGGCATGGTAATTCAAAAGACATGGGTGTGACCGCTCCAGGAAGAAGTCTACACTTACAGGTCTCGGCACCAGGAGGTGCGCACCCCTGGGGACCATGTGGGGAAGTGCCAGGCCTGTCAGGAGGTGGGGATGGGGAGCCGTGGGCAGGACCTTCCCACCGTTTCCGTGGGAAGGAATGGGCAATGCCGGGCGAGAGGGCTCGGGGTTAGCCACCTTGACTCATCGGTGGGCTCAGGGGCACAGGCGCTGTTTCTTGTCATCTGCTGCCTCTTTCTGGGGTGATTGGGACAGATGGATGGTGGCCTGGGGGTGAGCACCCGAGAAGGCAGGGTTGGGTGTGTGGGCTCTGCGCCAGTGGGTTTGCAGACAGTCGAAAGGCGAGTTCTTGCCGGGCTCGGTGGCTCAGCCTATCATCCCGCACCTTTGGGAGGCTGAGGTGAGTGGATTGCCTGAGCCCGCGGGTTCGAGACCCGCCTGGGCAGTGAGACCTCATCTCTACAATAAATAAATAAAAAAAATCAGCCTGACGTGGTAGCGCATGCCTGTAATTCCGGCTACTCGGAAGGCTGAGGCGGAAGGATCGCCAGAGCTCAGCAGGTCGAGGCTGCAGTGGCTGGGAGCGGCCACTGCACTCCAGTCTGGGCGACCGAGTGAGACTCCAACTCAAAAGAAAAAGAAAAGAAAGGGGAGTTCTCGGACGACATGGGACTTGGCTGACCCACGACAGGCTGTCTCTCCAGGGTCCAGCAGGCCCCAGATGTCAAAGCATCAGAACCCGGATGTCAAAGACGTGAGCGACCCACCAGCACTTCTCGGGCCTTCCAGTTTGTTTTTACCCAGTGTGGAAGATTTTCAGAGACGCTTTCTGCAAGGACTTTGCGCCCCATTTTCTCTTGACTCCTGCCAACACGTGGCGACGGTTTGGTGCTTTCCTGTAGGTCATGAGACTGACCTTTTTTCCCTTTTTTCTTTCGTTGTTCAGATTGGACAATTTATACTGGTCAGTCTTCAGGCTCACTGTCCTTTCTTTTGTTGTTTCCAATATGCCACTCAGCCCATCTAGTGAATTTTTCACTTCAGTGATTTCTAGGTTTATTTGTTTATTTATTTTTGAGTCAGAGTCTCACTCTGTCACCCAGGCTAGAGGGCAGTGGCATGCTCATGGCCACCACAGCCTTGACCTGCTGAGCCCAGGAGATCCTCCTGCCTCAGCCTTCCACGTAGCTGGAACTACAGGCATGTGCCACCATGCCTGGCTAATTTTTGGTATATCGTAGAGAAGAGGTCTCGTTGAGTTTCCCAGGCTGGTCTCGAACCTCTGGGCTCAGGCAGTCTTCTTGCCTCACCTCCCAAAGTGCTGGGATGACAGGCATGAGCCACCACGTCCAGCTTAGATTTAGAATTTTCATTCGGGCCCTATGGTAGTCTTGAGTCCAACCAGGATATAGGAACAGTAGGATAAGCAGGAAACTTAGTGTACTATAAAGAGTCATTGACAGTAAGATGCGGGGAAACTACCTGGTGCCCTATTTCTTTCAGAAAGTACCTGGGGACAAACAAATTTGGAAGGGGGCTCTTCCCCAGGGCTTAGAGTCAGCCCTTGTTGGAGGAGGTGTGGCTCTGCCACAGAGTATTGGGGAAATTTGCTGGTTTGGCCAGGTTGGAGCTAGTCTGGACTTCGGGGCAGGCAGGCGGCGGCCCTCTGGAGGCCAGCCGGGAGTCAGGCAGCCAGAAGTTGGAGGTGTGGACACCCAGTGGGATGCCTTCAGGCACACAGGGGCCCCGGCTCCATCCCAGGGGTGCCGCAGAGGCCACTGCCAGGCCGAGGCCCTGGGCCCGGGGTGGCGGCTCGCCATGTGGCCTGACGCCCACCGGGCCCCTGACCTGTGCTGCAGCCCACAGGAGAGCCTCCTCCTCCCCGTCGTCCCTGCGGCTCCTCTGTTGAGAAAGCGGCGCTTCACACTCACTGGGGGGAGAAGAGGCCGCTGGAGTCTGTCATCTGCATGCTGTGGGCTGATGTCGGCGTTCTGTGCTGTCTGTCGGCCGCCGCGTTCCTCACTGTTCCCTCCTTGGAAGCGTCTCCCCACCGGTTCTGTGATGGCTCCTTAGCGCCTCTGCTCAGGCCGGCGCGGGGACATCTCAGGATTGGCTGCTCTTGGCTACTTCTCCCTCCGCCTTGGGTCCTGTTGTCCTTCTTCACGTGTCCCGGAGCCTCTGGCTGCTGGCTGGATGTGGCAGAGTCCACATGGTGGAGTTCTGGGTTCTGAGGGAACCGGTGACTGTCCCCTGAGCCGTGCTGGGTTTGGTGCCGGCAGGCAGTGACTTCCTGGCTGACGGCCTTGCAGAGCCTGCTTGGTGCTTCGTCAGGGCAGGGTGGCGCGGCCTTTTCTTCTGTCTGGATCCGGGAGGCGGTGCTGTTCTGGTTCTTCCTGGGAGGCCCGAAGTGTTTCCTGAGCCCCTCTCTCACGGGGAGGACTCGAGCCCGACTCGCTGGGGGTGAGCATCAGCCACGGCCTCTGCCGGGACCTCTGTCCTCAGCTGCTGTCTCCTCCCCAACCTCGGGCCTCCTGGCGCTGCCCCAGCTGGCCGGGGTGCAGGCGGGACCCGGGAGTGTGTGCGAGTGGGCCGTCCTCCCCCTGGCGCTCTCGTTCCTGGGGCTGGTCCCTCCG